CATCCAGGGGTGCCTGGGTGGCTCAGTGGATTGAGCATCTGACTTTGTCTCAGGTCATGATCTCATAGCTCATGAGTTTGAGCCCAAGTCGGGCTCTGTGCTGACAGCTCAGAGCCTGGAGCTTGCTTAGCATTCTGTATCTCCCTCTCTCTCTCTGCTCCTCTCCCACTTTGTCTCTCTCTCTCAAAACTAAATAAAAACATTAAAAAAAAAAAAAAAAAAAAAAAAAAAAAAAAAAGTCATGCACCCAGCCCTTAAATAACTTAAAAACTGAAATGTACAGGGATAGTTACCAAGATATGAAATGCCACCTACTGAAGAGATCAAGAAGGTAAGTGAAAACTTAGTTCCTCCTCCATGTGTAAGGTCAAAAGACCAAGATTTATGTCTGCTCTTCAATCTGGGAGATGCTACTATAAGAGATACTGAAACCAGTGCTATGAAAATACGAAGAAAGAAAAAAATTAACTGCTTGAAAGACTCAGGAAAGACTTCATATAAGAAGTAATATTTAAGTGGAGAGGCAGAGACAAAGGACATTTTCCAGGGGAACAAAAAAGGATTTGATCTATGGAATTTGTCAAAGCATTCTGGGAAACTCAAAATCACTTTGAACTTTCCTAAATACCACAAATACTACAAATTCTTAAACGTTTGTATGAAAAAACATACTGGTGGTAATAAAACCACCGTAAATAATTTTTTTCTGATTTCTCTTATAAAAATATAAATCTTATATAAAATCTCACTGTATGGTCTAAGTCTGATTTAGCTGTGTGTCATTTTTACATATTTTGCTTGTGGTCAGTTTTGACCAAACAGTAAAAACACCACCCACCTTATTTTTTTCTCTTCTCTTGAGACTAATAGCCAATTCCATTTTATAATATCTTATATTTAAAGCATTCAGAAGTCAAAATGTGTGGCATTTTCCACTTCGCAAACTCCATGTTAAGTCAATGGCATATAACCAGGCTAAAAAACCCTAAATTAGACAAAGACCATCCATTGGGATAAGAAATTTGCCAAATCTCATAATTCAAAAAGAAGCTGTTAAAGATGGTTGTGGGATTTTTGGCACTGTGATTTTAAGCCTTTCCATAATAAGGCTTGTATTTCATCTAATCAGCTAGTCGGAAACTATAAAAATTTTGTTGGTGGGGGGGAATTAAAATTTGGATTGTAATACACGAGTCTTTCCTTCCCTTCCATATGTTTCAGTAAATTAAAACTTCTAAATCTTGTTTTTATAAAAAAAATGCCTTCTAAAAAATAAAGCAGCCTGTAAAATCATATTTTTGGTACAGGAAACTTAAAATATACTCATGCTTGAAAAGAAGAAGAAAAAAAGAACACATGGTTTCTATATCCAAAGCAGTGTTACGGTCTAGGTATATTCAGAATTAAGTACATTTGAGCTTTCATCTTTTTTCTCTTTACTAAATGACTTTTTTAAAAAATCGGGCATCTTAAACTTTTTAGGTATTTTTTGAAGGTAATCCTTTATCAATTTAATTAAAGATGTTTCCATCTGAATTCCATAAGAACATCTCAAAGACAGTAGTTGTGGCAAGAGGTATACATGATTTGTTCTCATGAGGAACTGTGTGAATTACCACCCTTAAGAATAGAAAATAAAAAGGTTTTTACAAGGTTAAAAAAAATTACCAAATGATTAAACTCGACATGTTATGATCCTGTAAACATCAGAAATAGCAAATTATACTCTCCAACTCTGAGATATGTTCTCCTTTTCCTTTCTCTGTCCTTTCTCCATTGGGCCTTACTATTTCTTCCATAATTTCTTCTTCCACGTTTTTTTATTTCTTCATCTTTGTTTGTATATGAAAAGATTTCCTTATCTTTATTCTCCATTCCTTCCTTCCTTCTTTGCTTCCTTTTCTTCTCCCTCCTTCCCTCTCTCCCTCCC